TCTCGTTAATCGGTCGCGCGAGTGTAACAGTATGTATAAATGAGTTGCAAATTACAATAGATTTTATAATAAATAATAGTGATAGACAAAGATTAATGGCAATTTCTTTATGTTACTTACTTTTTTATGTTTACTGCGTACTTCTGTATAACAAATATGTTATTCTCAATTCCTTACGGACTCATTGATAGATAACGTACAGTGTATTACATATATTACAGCCATTATTATCGATAACACTCACATAATTTTTAACATTGCCGGTTTTTTCCGATTGTTGTATTACACAATAGAAGTTCTTGGAAAAATACGAACATGTATACATACAAACTTACAGTAGCTTCTATATAAACCTGAAAGTAAATACTGTCTAACATTGCACAGACTATTATTGCCGCATTCACTCTTGTGATATATTTCTGACACTCAACCATTTTATTACGTATATTAGTGACCGTCCGTTATAATGAAAATGACGTATTCATTAATAATTTTATTACTTACAACGATCGTAAATATAAGCTTCGGTATCAAGACGGAATATGAATTTAAATATGTTAATTTTACGTCGGAGAGTTGGAAAATGCATGAAGCGATGGATTATGACTTTAGAAACATTATTTTATTTGACGTAGACAAAGCACCAGGTAAGCTAATTCTAATCAAAGAAATAATAATTTTAAGCAAAGAAATAACAGTAACGAATAATAAATAACTTTACATATAAAAGCTTAATTAATATAATATTCTATGTTGTCGATGCAACATGATATGACGTCTGCTATACAATTATGATATCTTTGCAATAAATACATATTCTAAATGCACATGATCTTCACAATCAACTTCTTATAGATGGTAGAATATTCGTTACTGCAGTAAGAGATAAAGGAGTACCAGCAAGTCTAATGACAATAAGTAATGAAAGAGGACCGGGAGGTCCACTTTTGTCTCCGTATCCAAATTGGTCATGGTATAATGACACTACTGATTGCGATAACAATATTATAAGTGTGTAATTACGGATATTCGTGAGTATTAGTTCTTTTTTTAAAGTAGTATATAGTTATAGTATATAAATAATTTATATTACATATATACGTGCGTATCTATTTCTGCATTAGATCAAATGCAATCGTCTCTTCATTCTGGACTTTGGAATAAAAAATGGATTTGAAGGAGAGAGAGTTTGTCCTCAAAAACTATTGATATTCGATTTAGAATATGATATGCCCGTTGAAAATATTCGCATTCCATCTCACATCGCTAACAACAAAAATGGCATTGGATTGCTCGCAACAGTAGTTGCTGATGTTCAAGATTGCAGTCGCATAGATGATGCAACCGTTAGTATTTTCTCAGATTTTACACGTTTATAATCATAACAGTACATGTTCATTGTTCTATCGTGTAAATACAGAGTATAACATTTTAATTTAGCCTGGTAAATATCACAAAAAATATGGAAGATATGGAAAAATATTTCAGTGAATATGAAAAGTGAAATAAATACGAGGGGGACGTATTTTAGTTGCGTTTTTTTTTCTATGGATGAAGATGTCAAAAGATATAAAGATTTTTCGAGATATTTGTCTGAGTAAATTAAAACGGGACACTGTAAATATTATTTAGTTAATACTTAAGATCTATGATTCAAGTCCAGATACAACTAGGATAATATATTAATAATAAACCTAAAATATTATTACATAAACATACTAATAGAAATATACATATACACAGGTATATCCCGACTAGAATCTACGTTCGGGTACTGTCAGGTTTACCTTATATTTTACAAGGACCTGGTTTGG